GCGACTTCTATAAAATGGTGCAATGTAACAGAAGAGATGTGGCTTCTATTAGAGCATCTACACATGAGAAATGGTGAATTTTAGGTTGTCAATTTTTCAAACAGAATGGGTAAGGCTTCTATTTCTATTTCACAGTAACTAAAATAGGAAAAAAGATGATAAATTGTACTACAACACAACTGTGCCAAAGATGCTAAAACCGATGTATGCTCAGAGAAGCATACTAGGACAACGCTGATAAATCATAGAAAAATTAAATTGAAACTCTGGCTGATAGCATAAACCAATTATCTTGTTTTTATGGAACTAACGTACAGTATCAATAAACCAGAATTATTTTTCACCATAAATGTTTTTTTTTAGAAAGGTTACCCAAAACTAATACCATAGGTGAAGCATGTTATGCTAAGCATCAGCTTAGTTCTGTTAAGTGTATACATGCATAGCATAATTCAAAACCTTAATTGAGAGGTCAGGCCATTTTCATCAGTGCTAACATTGCCCAATTGATCACAGCCTCTTTTTAATCAGTGATCTTCACTGGCTGAACTAGATCTGTCAATTTCTACTTCGCATAGAAACATCACTTAGTGGGGATCAAAAAGACCGACATATATGGGTATTTGAACTGATTACTACCTCAATAACATGACAAACTAAATTTATCCAAACAATTTTTTCTGCCAATATGAATCTTAACTGAAGATGCACATTAGAATCAAAATCACATTTGAAATTGCTTTTACTTGTTATACAGCATGGTATACAATACGAACAGGTAAAAAATGAGTGTATTTAATTTAGCAATGTTGCACGTATAAGTAGTTAATTTTATCAAAATATTTGTTATACAACCAACAAATTAGAATTGCACTTTTCATTATAAATAGAGACAATAAGTTCTCTAGGGTTTTTCAATAAAAGAACTATCAACAGTCATAGTATAATACTGTATTTGGGTTTTATAGTACAGCTGTAAATGTTGATTCCAAAATCAAGAAAATTATAGGCAATTTGGTGAATACTTTGTTATCTTTACATGTACCAAGGAAAAAACAGGTTCAAATAAATTTACACGATCAGAAGCATGATTAAATTAATAATTCAATCAAACTGCAGTGTGTGTACACTACCGTATTTGCACTATTAGTAGTGCATGTGAATCAATCATTTTAATGTGCAGTATACAATAGATGAATTATTTAGTTCATGTTCGTTTCTATTACCTTTCTAATATATAGCAAATGCGGCACCCATTGTTTTATCAAGTATGACTTCCATGCAGAAGACAGAAACAGTTATAATTACTGTAGAATACTTTATTTTCGCTTGGAATTTATTTTCGCTGAAGGATTGATTCAGTGAAAATAAAATCCAGCGAATATACTTTTTTCCTATATTTCACATTAAACCCATCAAAAATCAGTGAAAATATATTCCATACAAAACGCCCAAAAAGCCTTTTCAGCGAAAATTAATTCCAGCGAAAATAAAGTATTTCACAGTAATACTCGTTACATTCTCAAAAATATACTCTGGTATTATAAACCAAATGGTTAGTTTTTTTCCTCAGGAATCTTTTTCACCTAATTTAATTTACACCACAGCTGGTGCAATGCAATGTATTAATGGGACATCTAATCTATGGGTTATTATGAAAATGAAACTGTTTAATACTACCATAGTTCATGTTTAGGCCGTTTGGGGGAAAACATTTTATCTGATTTAACAGTTCTTTAATTCATTCACAACAGAAGTTGTACACGGCAAGTGGTAGAAGACTGCCTTCCCATGCCACATTGTACCTTGCAGGCCGGCATGGTGCTTTTATGAATAGCTGGTCTTGGTTTGGCCCAACCAGCAAAGTAGTACAAAAGGCTGATCTGTTGTATTATGCCTTTCTTTCAGTCCAGAGATAAAATAACAGTACAGACAAAGGTAAACAAACCTATCAACCTCTCAGCTGAGATAGCTCACTGTTAGCTATGCACATTTAAATTAAGGAACTGAAGATATCATTAGAAAATGAACAAATCTGAGAGAGGTCTTCATGAGATTCCTATATGTGTACCGTAATATCAAAGCAATCGGACTTGCAGTTTTCAACAAAAAGTTGAATATATCACTTTTTGCCAAAAATATTTATCAAAATTAGAGAATTGAAGATATCCTCACGAAATGAACAAATTTGGGAGTCTACCTGAGGTACAAAAACAATAAGTATCAAAGCAATAAGAAATGTAGTTTTCAAGAAGAACTTGAAATAGTAAAGAGTTGACACTGATGATGCTGGCCAATCACTCATATGATAAGCTACGCTTGACAAATTCAACAGCGAAGCTAATAAAAAGGGGGTGTGAAAAGGACTTTCATCACATGTATGATAAATCAGGTGTCAAAAGTGACCATTTATGGAACTGTTTTGCCAAAGCATGAATTTTAATTGTTAATATCAATAAAAACACAAGTGCCTACAGGTACATTTTCAGCGTACATGCAGACAATACCCAATACTCTGGTTAAAACACTTTAAATAGAGTACATGTATATACAGTGTTAAGTTTCCTGGTACAAACCCTGCCATCAATTTTACCTCTTCTGTTAGACAATGCATTCAGAAACATTGATATACACGATGACCACACAATGTTAACAGAATCTTTTCCCCATTACATGGCCTAAATGACACAACTATATACATGTACCTGCGTAAATCTCATAAAATGAATAAACTAAAAGCTTGCTCTATTTTTCATATTTAGTGGCTTTCATCTTTGTGCTGAATATTGATTCACTGAATGCCTAGTTTTTACTACTACATCTTGCCTTGCAAGGAGAGATCATTCACTTAGT